CAACTATAATAACTGGGCGCATGCAATTAATAAACGAACGAATCTACAAAATCATATACACAAGAAATATAATCATTTAAATGTGAAATGCATGTAACTAACAAAAATGAGTCAACAAAATTATATTGATTTACTAACCGAAGCACCAATGGCGATAAATAGCAACTCAAAGCGTCCATCTCTATCTGTTTTGATATGAGTTACTGACCCAGGATTTTTTAGCTTTAAATTGTGACAATAAGCCGGCAGTTGGGCAAATGATGCTTCTGGCGACCCCCTCAATAATTCCAAAGCATAACATTTGGCTCTCTAAGCTTGAGAATATGAGATACTAATCTTGAACCGAGCATTCATGTCAGTCATAATTTCATGTCCCCGATACACCCTACCATTCAAAAACATTAACTCAGCCAGAAAACCACCCAACACCGTTTTGTTTGCCTGTCTATGGTGAGGAAAAACTTGGGTTCTTGAACATGTATGTTTATCAATAAAAGTCCTAACTTGAAACATTTCGCAATCTTTTATCCTCTTTGCAATCATACGCCACATACAGTTTTTGTCAATCATACACCTTGTTTCGAAACGATCTTTGCTTGATTTGTTAACTTTTAGTTGATAGCCATCTTCCACACATTTCGTATACAAAGATATCTTTAAGTCTTCCTTTGTATCAAAGCAATCATCTTTCTTGATACGAATAATTTTTGTGTGACAATCAACTGCTATCTTTACCAACTCTTCTTCCGGTATCTGAAGTAATTCTGGCATATTCCAGTTATACTCCCGTGGCATTTTCTTCGGAGACTTTTCTTTGGGGATTTCTTCTTCTTCTTCTTCTTCAGTGTTATATGAATTACAGAATGGATGTTCAACATGTTCATTTACAGTCGTAACTTCCTCCTCATTATCATCAACAACATCTTCCTCGGCAACAACTGTTTCATCATCAAAATTCGGGTATTGACCAATATCAAAATCATTACACGCAGGGTGTGTTTCTTCTTCTGAAAAATCATCAAAATCCGAGTATTGACCAAGATCAAAGTCCGGGTATTGACCAAGATCAAATTTCGAATACTGACTAGTACTCACAATTTTTTTTGTTGGCTCATCATCGTCTAACTGGTCAATACGAAAACCGGAATTTGGTGCTGAAAGTTGATTGAGATTTAGATTAGGGAAAGGTTGTGGGTTTTGAGATTGTGTTTGGTATTGGAAATGTGGTGAAACATTATTTGCTTGGTGATGAAATTGTGGTGGAACCATTAAATTTTGAGCACCATAAACTGGGGTTGAAAAACTTAGTTGATTACTACCCGCTACTGACCCAACTTCACTACTTCTAGGTTCAACAACATACAATGTAACATCATCACTTGAAACACTAATGTAAGCAATGAATCGTTCAACATCTTCATTGTCGGTTAACAAATAAACTTTATCATTTTTCTGATAAGATAGCCTAAATCCACTTAGGGGCTCTAAATTCAATTTATTTGCAACACGTAACATTAGAGTTTTATAAGTTAACTTTTTTAATGACTGTTTTAGTTGAAGATTCATGGGTAAAGACATATATTGTAAAACACCATGAACATTCTCCCATGACCCTCCAAAACACAAATCTATCCAAACATGATCAACATTAGATGATTTCATTATTGTAAATTAATTTACTAAACAAACGAGCTGCAAAACTAAAACCTGTTGCCGGATGGGGAAGGATGTCGTTGGATATAGGAACGGATGTCGCCGGAGAGAGTGATAGATGGAGATGGAATGAATTGCGACTTAGGGATTTAGGTTATGAGTTGCTGCTGCTGCGTATTTATATACCCAAAACATTTGTGTTGCGAAATTAAAACCTGTTGCGAATTCAGAAATCGAGTTGCGAATTTGAAATTCAGTATTGCGATAGTCAGAATCTCGTTGTGATTTACTAAATCGCAATGCGATTACGTAAATCGAAGTACGAATTAGGAAAATCGCAACGCGAATTTGGGAAATCGCAATGCGATAGTCAGAATCGCGTTGCGAATCTGGAAACTGATTTGCGATACCGGAGATCGCGTTGCAAATTATCGATCACATTGTGATTTAGTTAGTCATTTTGGTAAATCCAAAAAAAATTAGTTAAAATCGTATATTATAAGGCATTTTTGGTCACTGAGGTTATTTTCTTTTTTTTAATTACTGCAACATACCACCTTGAACATGCAGCAGAGAACCCAAAGCTGTCACCAATTCTGATACTATTTCATAGTATATATCAGCCAGTTGAAGAGGGAGGGGCATGGATGCGAGAATTGGAAAATTCTGAGGGCGTTCCTGTCATTTCCTTATTTCGACGGCCACTGGAAAGCTTGATTCGGATTGGGAAGGTTTGATTTTAAGATGACATGATTAATCCATGAAGATATATAGGGTTATTTGTATAAAAAATCCTTAAATTATGGGATATATTTTAAATTAATTTTCAAATTATAAATTACTTTGACTGGATTTTTAAATATTAATATTTTATTAATTAGATATTTATTTTAATTTAGTTGTCAACATGAATAATAAATATAAGCTTAGATATGATATTAAATATACTTAAAACACATAAATTAAATTTTAAATATATATATCTATACCTTTTTCAATAATATATTTATATACATTTTTATAGGAAAAGTTGAATTTAACGTATTAAATTTTTTTCTTACAAATGTTCATAACATCTTTTAAATATTTCTTTTAATATACATAATGTGTTTCTTTTAATATACAGAGCAAATTGGAATTAGATTAATAAAAAAACTTAATTAAATCCAAAACAAATAAATTATTCAAAATATGTATCAAATAAATTCTTTTCTCATTTGAGTTTGTCTTATTTCCTCTTCTTTTAGTCGTCGTTAGTCTATTTTCTTCTTTATCTTCATAATCGGTAGCACACCACCCTTGATGCTGGTCGATCGTTGATATTTATTATTTTCCCCTTTCTTTAATATTGTGTACTTTTTTCTTGCTTTTTATTTTTAATAATTTAGTCTTTATGACACATTTTCTTTCGTCTTTATGACACATTTACGGGCATTTGGTCGTTGTTTTCGTTTATTTTTTTCAGGGTTGATTTTAATATCGTCACGACTGATTAAGTTGACGCTTATTTGTTATCATGTAGATCTTCCATGTTTTGAACCCTTAGATTGAATTTTGATATGCGATTTGCATTTGTAGATAGTATTTTGATGTATCTATTCTCATTTGTAGTTTGTCAGTGATCTTTCAATAGCTTCATCCATTTTCTGATTTGTTTTCTAATGGGATTAGATATGTTCGTATCTATATTTTGTTCGAGTTTATTTGATTAGGTTTTTTAATTTTTTCTTGTATGGTCTTTCTGTGATTTTAAATAGCTAATTTTCTTGTATTTAAAAAAATATATTTATTATATATTTAGTTTACTGTTGTAGTTGTAAATATTTATTGTAATTTTGATATTTTTATAAAAAATAAATTATTCAAAATGTCTAAAATGGTAAATATACATATAGTAAGTAGTTTACCGTTTCAGGGACGTGTGAGAGAGAGGAATGAGGAGAGAACATAAAACATTACATGTCAATGTCAGGAATCAGGATATAATAGATAAGTGGTAAGTGGCAAGGACGAAAGAATGTAGTTGGGACAACATTACCCTTGTCTTACTTCTACAATTACATCTAGGCAGTGTGGATATAATTTATAATAAATAAAAGTAGGCAGGTGTACGTCAGTTCTACCATATTGGTCTTCATACTTCACACCGTTTATCTTTTTCAGTCAACATTTCTATTCGTATTCAACGGCTGACCAAAGTGATCAATAGTTTTTTATTATATTTAAAAAAGTATTTTTTATTATAAAAATTACCATTTTAATTATTATATTATATCTAAAAGTTCTATTTTAACATTTTTATTTTATTTATGCATGTTTGAAAAATAAACATTTTAATCCAAAATTATAAAATTATAGTTAGTTATCTTAAACATTTTAGTTTAGATTGGATGTTGTTTTAAATTATTATTAATTTTAAAATTGAGCAAATTGATTCTTCTTAAAAAAATAATTTATTTAATATAAATTTTAAAAGTGAGTAAATAAGAATGGTATATGATGTTGTTGGCATTTGTTTATCAATACATGTGTCTAACTATGATGGAGTATTTTTAAGATAAATAAAAAATAAGAATATAGTTTTATAATTTTTTTCATAATTTTGAAATTTTAATAAATTTTTAAATATTTTTTATTTTTGTACCATTCTTTTTAATTAAACTTTTATCCTCCCTCTAAATCTAAAATATTTTAAAAAAATTCAATATATATCTTTTCAATTAATCATTTAAACATTTCTTGTTTTGTGATTTGTAATTATAGTATTAATTCTAAATGAATATAAGAAATTTTGGAATTAAATGAAAATTAATTTTACATTCATATTTCATAAGTGTTTAAAAAAATTATATGTAAAATTTTATACAGTAACGTTTTGAGAGATTAATTTATTTAAGTTCAAAATTAAGAAGGACTTAAAGAGTGTTTAAATCAAATAACAATAATTTTAACATTTTGGACTAAAATATTCACTTTTGAAACATTCATAGACTAAAATGTCCCTTTTTGAAATATAAAGATTAAAATAAGTTTTTAGGTATAGTAAAGGACTGAAATGTTTGATTTTATAATAGAGAGATCAAAATGATTTTTTAGATATAGTATGAATCCATTTAATAATAAGCCTAAAGTCCAAGAAAGAAACGGTGATTTGGTCAGCCAATTTGCCTTTCCTTTTCTGACAATAATACAAAGTTCCTTACTTGATTCGTTCTTTGGCTCCCAAAACCAACTCATCAATCCATCCTTTACCTTGGATTCTTTCTCATTATAATCCCCTTCTACTTCTGCATATATAGCTTCACCCAAACCCCCTACTTCCCTCACCGGTTCCTTTAATCCACCAAACATTTTCTCCATCTTTCTTTAACGTAAACTTTGCTATAATGGCCGGCGTCCCAGCAAAGGACCCCAAATACTTGAAGGAGATTGAAAGGACTCGTCGAGACCTTCGTGCTCTCATCTCTGGCAAAAACTGCGCCCCCATCATGCTTCGCTTGGCGTACGTTTCTTCAAACTATATTAATCTTTCTGTTAAACAAAACACAATAGTGCACATGTAAATGCAAATGAAATGCAAATGATGTATTTTCTTTCTTTTGGTGTGTTGTTATTTGTTATTGTTTTGAAGGTGGCACGACGCTGGGACTTACGATTCCAAAACGAAGACAGGGGGACCTAATGGCTCTATCCGACACGATCACGAGTTAAAGCACGGTGCAAACAGTGGTCTGAAAACAGCCGTTGAACTATGTGGTCGGAATTTCGATGAATACATTAAGAAACTGCTTTTTGCTTCTTTTTCCCCTTCATCGTCTTACTTGTCTTATAACTGTACGTATATATGACACCAGAACAAGTGAAGACAAGGCATCCCGAAATTTCATATGCCGACCTTTACCAGGTATATTTTAGTTAATGCCATTCTATTGTTTCTTTAATTATTATGTTTTAACATACAGAAACTTCAGCTTTTAGATTTTGGTGTTTACAGCTAGCCGGAGTTGTTGCGGTCGAGGTTACAGGAGGTCCGACTATCGACTTTGTTCCAGGCAGGAAGGTATATATACATAAGTTCACGTCTGAAGCTTCAAATCTATCTAATGAGCATATTATGTTAGGTCTAAATAACATCTTTCATCTTTCTGAAAATGTCAGGATTCAGAGGTATCTCCTGAAGAAGGGCGCCTTCCTGATGCCAATCAAGGTTTTATTATATAATTTGGTGTTGAAATATATATATATATATATATATATATATATATATATATATATATATACACTTTTGCATTTTTTTGAAAGGGTTTAATTTGTTGCAGGTGCAAAACATTTGAGGGACATCTTTTATAGGATGGGTCTGTCTGACAAGGACATTGTGGCTCTTTCAGGGGGGCATACATTGGTACTTTGTCTATGCAGTTCATTATGATTCTAGCAAAACTTTTTAAAGAAGTTCTAATTATTATTTAACAAAAAAAATATGTTGTGGATTTTTTTCCAGGGAAGAGCACATCCTGAAAGATCAGGTTTTGAGGGTGCTTGGACAAAGGATCCTTTGAAGTTTGACAATTCATACTTCAAGTAAGCCATTAATTGACACAAACCAAAGTTGTATATGTCAATTCAGCTAATATTATATTGTTTGTAACCAGGGAACTACTAGAGAATGAGTCAGATCCGGATCTGTTGAAACTTCCGACTGACAAGGCTCTGGTAGAGGATCCTAAATTCCTCCGCTATGTCGAGCTCTATGCAAAGGTACGTCGGTAGTTGAAGTTGAACAAGAATTTTACTTGTTTTTGTTTATTAACATGGAATTGAGAGTTCTTTTAATTGACAGGATGAAGATGCTTTCTTCAGAGATTATGCAGCCTCCCACAAGAAACTCTCTGAGCTAGGCTTCATTTCGCCATCGAGGTTCGCTTTGAAGTTTGCTGTGGGAGTTCTTGTTACAGCAACTGTGGCAATCCTGAGTCACTACTATGAAGTTCACAGGAGATTCTTTGAGTGATTTCCTCGAAACAATTCCCCAAAGGAGATTGTAGATACAAATACTGTAAACATTCTATGTAAACCAGACTGATAAATTAAAATAATTCGGATATGAACAAGCACAAATTTGCACAAGGAATAAAGAAAATACTATTTTTCAATTGTGGAAGTGCTGGGATGAAATTATTATTTATTTTGCTGGATGTGTAACAAATGGATAGATCATCTGAATGCATAGGGGATATGAACATTCTATGTAAACCAGACTGATAAATTAAAATAATTCGGATATGAACAAGCACAAATTTGCACAAGGAATAAAGAAAATACTATTTTTCAATTGTGGAAGTGCTGGGATGAAATTATTATTTATTTTGCTGGATGTGTAACAAATGGATAGATCATCTGAATGCATAGGGGATTCGGAGAACAAGTTCATCTCCAACATAACAGAACAATTTAAGAAAATAAATTAGATTAAGATAGTTAACAGGTTAAGGTCAGGCTCTAGGACTCAAAGAAAGAGTAATATCTTGGAAAACCTTAAGCCTCTTGTCAATTTTCTTTCGAAAGATCTTTGGGGTTTCAGTCCCCTTCCCTGGTTCAAGAACTGCTGCAATGATAGCCTCTTCAAAGTCTTTGCTATCGGGTAATAAATCTGCCAATTTTTCTCCTTTCTCTTCAGATGAAGGGGAGAGCCTTCTGGTCTTAATCTCTTGTTTCTCCATTTCAGCAGGGTAAAGCTTGGTGTAGAAGTCTCCCACCATTTCATTCACTCTCATAGAGCTAGCAGAGTTCCCTGACCTTGTTCTTTTAAGGGTCTCATGCATTTGATTCCCAACAACATGCTCCTTCACGAGTTTTGATGAATAGAACGGTGGTGCATCGATATTAAAAACAACTGTTTTTGCACTTTTCTGCTGAGGAATCGCCATCTGGTTTGCCATTATATTGGAATTGATGTTCTCATCAGCAAAATTATCATGTGCCAATGATTTGACTGCTTTTGCTGTAGGCAAGCTGATGGTATCGCTGCAAGGCTGAGGCTGCCAAATCGATGAAGAACCAAGGAAGGCGTCGAAGACCCGGCTTTGTTCGACCCTATTCATCATCTCTGACTCAAGGTCCTTGAGCATCTGTTGTGCCCTCTCATAGGCCTTGAGATGTGAATCAACCCCTCTTAGTCCATCGGCCACAGCCGGCTTCACTCTTCGCAAAGTTTCTTTAGCCTCAGTGATTCTACCTTGCTTCATCAAACAAATACCCAGATTACACATCTTGTTATTATCAGAAGCAATCGAAAGTGCCCGCCGATACGTATCTTCGGCTTCTACATAATTGTTTTGCTGCATCAATGCCCATCCCAAGTTTCCCTGAAATAGTACCAAAAAATAAAAAACTTCAATAACTACATGAATCCCATATCAAGGAACAGTAATAAACAATTGTGAGTTTGAACTTTGAAGTCTTACCAGAAACCGAGTTGCTTCTTGTTCCACAGACACCTGGAATTTCTTCCCTTGAGATCTGGCTGTTTTAGTGCGTTTCCCATTGAAAGCCAGCCCTTGTTGAATCAAATACAACTTGTTCTTCAATAATGCTATTTGGTCATCCAATCTTCCACATCTCTGTAGAATTATAACCATTAACAACCAATAAAATAAACAACTTGATACAACTTTTGAATTTATGTTGATTAACAGACCTTGTAGAGATCTAATAGAATGTTATCCAGAGACTCCTGTGCTTGATCTGAGCATCTACTACGTAGTGATTTGATAGCTTCAATGGCTTCTTCAGCTCTATTTTGTTGCTTCATCACAATAGCCATATCTTTCAGAGCACTATCCACTCTATCCCCTGCATTAATGGCTGCCCAGAACAGAGGAATCGCCCTCTCTGGATCCTTTTCTACCAACTGAATCAATAAAAAAAAACACAATAAATACCCATAAAAAGAAACACAAATAATATCAAGTTTTGAGTATACTACAAACAAGTTGATAAAAAGACCCAGAATGCTTACTTGAACATTCTTGGCTCTAACATAAGGGGTAGGGGAGTCACCAACTGGGACTTTGTGGATGGCATGGAAGGACTCGGATCGAGTTCTCAAAACCCCGAGAGGCTTTGCCGGAGAAGTAGGGGCAGATTTAGAAGGCTTGAATCCAGGTGGAGCATTCCACACATCTTGCAACATCTTCAAAAACCAGTTTTCTTTGCCTAAACCCTAATGAACTTAGCTTTTGCAGTGGTGAATAAAGATTCGCGGAAAGTTAAAAGGGAAGAGTGAAGAGAGAGGGTGAATTTCGGAGAAAAATATTTGAAATTTTATACCGTTGAGGTTGCCGTTTTGAGTACTAGCCGTTGGACTCACAATAATTTACTTGTAACCAAACTTGAGGAGGGATATTCCTCCTTCTCGCCCAGGATTTCATACCTTTTTTTTTTCATATGAATCCATATATATTCTATTTTCAGCTCCTTTGGAGCCAATGGTATGAATACTGAGGGTATATTTTCCATTTATGTAATTATATCTATTTTTTTCCTTTTTTAATTTAAGTTTATAGTTAACAAATTATTTTAATTGTTATATTAAATTTTGTTTTAATTTTTTTATAGTTACATTTTTAACGATTTCATTTGTTGTTCAATAATTTTAACAATTATGTTTTAAATTAATTAAATTGAATGTTCTAGACATTAAAAAATAAAACGTTATTATAATATTCATAAAAACTATTGTATTATATATATATTGAATTTTTTAGACTTTAAAAGCATCAAATAAATATTTTAATCGAATGAAAATAAAATTAAAAGTAAAGTATTAAACATAATCGAAATATAATATTATAATATTGATAAAAAAATAAGATATTACAATTAATATTGTCAAAAATAATAAAATAAAATAAAATTGTATCACCGATAATTTCAACGAGAATGAGTTTTTACAGTACAATAGTGATCGATTACGAGATGAATTTTTTTTTGTACTAAAAATGATTGTCATCGTCACTGTATCTACTATTGTTGACAATTTCTCTAATATTCTTGGCATCATTAATTGTTTATCACACAAATTCCTTCATCAACTCACTTAGACCATATGATGATAGATTATCTGTGAAGAATAATGATTATAAAGATGTCTCATCAACAATCTTACCACTAAATGTAAAATATATAGAGATAAATTTGATGAAATCATTTCCGTAAGTATAAAAAATTAGTAGCATTATATTAAAGATATTGTATTGTTTTTCTAGAGTATTTACCGACATCATGAGGTGTATTAGTTTTAGTTTATTGATTTACCGTGAATTTTAATCAGACCAATGAAATTAATCGTGTGATATGAGTTTATTCTTATTTTAATAAATTTTTACAATGTTTTAATTTCGGATACATTTACTAATACTTAAGCAACTAATTTTGTTATTGCTATTCTCATGTTTTATTTCAAAAACGAATTTATAAAAAGTTGTGCTTTAGTGAAAGAACTTTAGTAATGTAAAGAATCTCACATTAGATAAGAAAAAACTTTTAAGGGAGTTTAAATATAGTCGGTCTCTTTCTCTTTTTCTTGTTCATCAGTGAGTCTAAGTGAAAAAATCAATTTCAAGAATGAAAAAAGTGAGCTTTAATATTTTTCAAATATTTTTTTTATTAAATATTTTATTAAGGGGGAGTTTTTTTAAAAATATTTTTTCAAATGTTTTGTTATATCAAAAAAGGGAGATTGTTGAACCATGTTTTATACTATTTTGATATAACAAATTAAGGAAAAATGTTTTTAGACTTAAATTGAATTTGTTCAAAGTTTTCAAAAGTTTTCAAATATAATTCAAAATCTATTAAAATAGAATTTGAGCACAAAACTGATTTTCCGAATACGTAGTACCGATAATGTTCTTACAGTATCGATAATACATGAATAGTACCGACACTGTTCACGTGGTACAAATACCAAAGGTAAGAGAAGTATCGATACTCTCAAGGTAATATTGATATTATCATGTACTTTCCAAATTGCTCAAATTGCATAATGCAAAATAGGTACCGATACTCAAAGGAGTATAAATACTATTTACACAGTAATATCGATATTATGATCATAGTATCGATACTGATTAAGCCTAACGGCTAGTAACGGCTAATTGATTTAAAAATTATAAAGGAAGTACCGATACTCATTAAAAGAGTACTGATACGGGCAATGCTATTTTACAAAAAAATTAATCTCCAACGGCTAGAAACGGCCATAAACTCATTTCAACCAATAAAAACAAGTAGAGGACTCTTGAAGAAGGGTTAGAACACCTATCCAAGTAATCATACACAAGAGAAGAGTTTTTCATTCCTATTTCCCTTTCTATTGTAAATATTAGTGTTTTAGTAAGCTAAATTTTGTAAACACCTATCTTGTGAGGTTTTTTTTTGTTTACATTTTTTTTACTTTTGTAAAAGGGGAGTGATTCTATCTTAGCCATTGAAAAGATAGGGATTTGTAAAGGTTATCTCTTTATCATGTGAAAAAGAAATAACACATTAGTGAATTTGTTAGAAAATCCTTAGTGAGGAGCTAAGGTAGTGGATGTAGACATGGTTGAGAAGTCGAACCAATATAAATCATTGTGCATCAATTTTTTCATCTTTTAAATCTCGTTAACCTCTACCATATGTCTCAAATCCACTTCAACATCTCTTGGTAAATTATTCGGTTGTTCATTTGAGCTTCATCGATAATCCCAACCTAAGGCCCAAAACAAATATGTGATGTCATAAAAATACTTAAATAAAGTATAGAGAGAAAATTAAAAGAAGAGAACATCCACACAATCGATAAAAAAAATTAAAAACTTGTCATAAAGATTAAAATATACATGTCATAAGATAGATTTATTAAAAATTCTAAAACATAGAAAAAACAAAAATATGATACAAGAAAATAAGAAGAAAATAGCATTAAACAACATTAAAACAGTACTTTTTGGTTGTTTGAAATCTACCCATTTTAACATTTTCCTATAGAAAATTAAACCTGTGTAACAACCGTTTTAATTCGAAGAAATTGTCCCTTAAGTTTTTCCAATTTAAAGCAAATAGAAACATGGATTGCTGATGAAAATAAGAGAATTTATATTTCAAATACAAAGGCCATGCATCTTAATCCAACACTTATTTATATCTCTAATTATTTTTCTTTTGCTTTCAAATACAGGTCTTCACTTGAAAAGAGAAGTGAAGAGCGCCAGACATTGGTTGTTGGTGATGAAAACTTGGAAAATCTCCCCCTAATTCCAATCCTTCTTATCCCCTAAACCGATAAGTTCCAAGAGGGTTCATGCTTTCTTACATAGTTTTCGACCGCAAATCTTGGTACGGTGATAACGTTTGAATATCGTCCAATGTTTTTGTTTAAATAAGGAGTAGGTGTAGGTTGGAACATATATATAAGATTTTAAGTAAGAGAATATGTATTTATAAAATAGATTATCAATAAAAGATATAAAAATATCTAAAATATAAAAAAATTTGAAAATTTTAGGGGAGACCGCATTCATTCGCTCCCCTCCAATCCATCCCAAGTATAGGCTTTTCGAACTCTCAATTATGGTATTGTTAGACAGCGATTTGTGTTTGTTGAGTTTCATATGTTTTACTCCTAACCTTCATACAATACACACGCATGTTTGCCTTTGGCTACATCTTTGTGTTTTACCAACTTACATTAAGCAGCAGTTAATGACTTCAACCCAATCGTACCAGAAAAATCCTACCATGTCACTAGGGTTTGCTGCTTCTTTTACTAGACTACATCAACCACATACATGTCCTTTACTCCAATACATCTAACAATGCAAAACACCAAAGTGATGGCTTAGATTAGGGTGGAAGATGTAATCTCATCAAATTAATGAATATAAGTTTATTATGAAGATCAATGTTATTCATGCTCTTATATAAAGTATTTGTATTCAATACTTACATCTTAATCTAAATTATATCGGTAGATAATTGTTATACCTCCAGAGATATTTCATTGAATGAGACCTCTAGATCCTTATAATTCTCAATTGGTCACAATCATTTGACATAATTATTAGTGGGTCAAGAAGATATATTAGGATCAAATCTAGTGTCAACGATTGAATTTATTAACCTAATCAACATACTTACAAATAACGATCATGATTTTATGTTTAACACCCGTATGCTACGATGATCAATATATAAATCCCCATATATACAAGAGGAAAAAAGAGAATTGGATCTTCTGAATGATACATTTTCTTCATTATGCTTCTTTGAGTGAAGGTGATCGACTCTTTTGACAAAACAAATACTAACTACAATTTTTTTTATCAAAACCAGAAGCGATAAACCACTTATAACTGAAATTATTTCCATCAACAGTATTAATGATAAATATATTACACGTACCCTTTTTGTTTTCCAAAAGTTCTTAGAAGTCCCCCAACAACACTATAAATACCATTTGTCAAAAGTGTTTGGAGCCAAAGTCACATGAAGCAAATGGGAAGGACACCTTGTTGTGAGAAAGGTCATACAAACAAAGGAGCATGGGCTAGGGAAGAAGACGAGCGTTTAATAGCTTACATCCAAGCTCACGGTCAGGGTTGTTGGAGATCGCTACCGAAAGCTGCAGGCCTACTTCGTTGCGGCAAGAGTTGCCGTCTCCGTTGGATAAACTATCTGAGACCCGATGTCAAACGAGGTAACTTTACCGATGAAGAAGACGACCTCATCATCAAGTTACATAGCCGTCTCAGTAACAAGTAAGTTTCAGGGGTCTTTATTTGTATTGTTTCTTCAATTTCATGCCTCGGGCCTTCGCTAATTGTGTGTATCTTCGTTGCTGAAAGGTGGTCGAAGATAGCATCGAGGTTACCGGGAAGAACAGATAATGAGATCAAGAATCACTGGAATACACACCTGAAGAGGAAGCTACTGAGCAAAGGTATAGACCCCATAACACATCGACCCATCAATGAACATGTCTCGTCGACGATAGTTCTTAGAGAAGATACGAAGACCAGTGATGAGCTTACTTGCATAAACCAGAACAACGCAGAAGGAGAAAAGTCTCCGGAATTGAATCTTGAGCTGCGAATAAGCCTTCCCTCATGAATTTGATAGCAAAATCATAATACATATAGTTGTATGAGTTTTAGATTTCGATAGTGGTTTTGTATATTAACAATAGGCTTTTATCAGTACTGGAAATGGTTC